GAGATCAGTTGTAATTTTGGGAGATCTCCAGGAATCACCTGGAGGGTGGCAACCTCAATTACCAAGTGTTAGGGTTGCCACCCTCCAGGTGGGGCCTGGGGATCCCCTGCTTTTACAACTGATCTCCAGCTGACAGAGATCAGCTCCCCTGGAGGAAAATGGCTGCTTTGGAGGGCGGGCTCTGTGGCATTGTACCCTGCTGAGGCCCCTCCCCTCCGCAAACCCCGCCCTCTCCCGGATCCACCCCCAAAGTCCAGGTATTTTCCAACCCAGACATCGTACCCTGCTGAGGCCCCTCCCCTCCGCAAACCCCGCCCTCTCCCGGATCCACCCCCGAAGTCCAGGTATTTCCCAACCCAGACCTGTCAACCTACCAAGTGTACCCCTTTCCACAGACCATCCACATTCTAAATTAGTGACAGTTCACTGATCGTAATTCGTTAGTCACAAACACAATTAGTAACAGATAACTGCAAAGCAATTTATTGGCCATGAGGCATGGCATTAATCACAACATACTTTATTAATCATGAGACAACTCATCAGTCACCACAATAAATCACTGATGACAATGCCGTTCATTAATTTTGAGGCAGTTCGTTAACAATGAGTCAATTGTAAACAATCTAGTCGTCATTTGAAGGTTCTCCGATTTTCATTTTATCGAAATGTTTGCCGTTCTTCTGGATTGAAGCAGAAGAATCCATACCTAAACTCCACTGGCAATTCAAACTGTTGTTTCTCCTTCACCTTCCCAAGGATGTGCCCTTGAGAAGCTTGGCCCCTGGTATACACCTAGGCCTGGTCCTTCCCTGGGAGAGCTGGAAGCGCTTCCAAAGAAAACCCAGAACAGTCCAAATGTGCTTCCTCTGCTTCTGGAACAGACTGGTTGCTCCAGAATATTCCAATGGAATGATGAAGTAGTTGATCTTCTTGGACGCTGGGGAGTCATTGTGCTGTAATTGAGTCCTGACCAAAATCTGACCTGTGGCCTCCATTGTGGCCTATTGTTGAGACCAAAAACAAAACCATCTTCCTGAGACAATACTGTGGTTGGTTGGACATGGGATTTTGTTGGAGTAGCTATTATAGAGTGCAAGTAAAACTCTTTTGGAGGGATATATGGACAATGGGGTTTGCCTCATACTTCGGGCCTATGGGTGTATTCAACACTCCCCTCAAGAATTTTGCTTTGTACTTCAGGCTGAAGGGCTTATTCAACGCTCACCTCAAGAAATTTGACCAATACTTGGTATCGAATTTACAGTCAGCCAGACACTAAGAGAAAATTGGTGCAAAATGTTTTTCAGATGGTATATAACTCCAAAGGACATTGAGAAAGCACATTAAAAAAATACAAAGGAAAGTGCTGGAAATGTCAAGACATAGATGGAACTTTCTTTCATATGTGGTGGACTTGTAAAAAAGCAAAAAGATATTGGAAAGAAATACACAGAAAAATGCAGAACATATAAAAGTTTCAATTCCCAGCAGAAGCCATTGCTATTAGGTGTTCTGCCTAATAAATTACCAAAAATTTCAGAAGAGCTATTCAAATACATGGCGACAGCAGCTAGAACTATTTATGCAGCAAAATGGAAATTAGATGTATGTCGACATTTAGAAGAATGGGAAAATAAACTTGCTGAATACGCAGTAATGGCAAAATTAACAACCTATTTGTTATTCCATTTCAAAATTTGAGGAAAGATGGAGTGTGAACTATGTGTATTATACTAGCAGGAGATAAACAAAGTGAGAAGATATCAAACATATGGTAATGAAATATAAGTAGAATTAGCATCTGTTCCCAATATCCTGAATAAGAACATAAGAACATAAGAGATGCCAATGTTGGATCAGGCCAAAGGCCCATCTAGTCCAACACTCTGTCACACAGTGGCCAAAAATACCAGGTGCCATCAGGAGGTCCACCAGTGGGGCCAGGACATTAGAAGCCCTCCCACTGTTGCCCCTCCAAGTACCAAGAAGACAGAGCATCATTTGTCCCAGAGCCCAGAGAATATAAATGGGTTCTCTATAGGAGATATATAATATACTGTCCTGGCTCGCAGGCACAACAGGCACCTGGGCAAAGAGGCAGTGCCAGAGCAGTCCAGAAAGCGAAGTCAACGCCAAGAGTCAGTAATTAGTTAGGTGCAGACAGGTCCAGGAAACAGAATCCAAAGGCAGCCCAGACAGCAAAGTCCAAGGTCAGTCCGTAAATCACAGGGGGCAAGGCAGAAGTTGTGGTGGCTGGTTTCACAGATATGTGACTCATTGCTGCCACGGCTGGGAAGGCATGCCAGCTCCGTTTAAGTAAGTCTCTCACAATGAGCTGAGTTAAGCAAGGCAAGGTCCTGCAATCACTTGGGACTGCAGTCAGCCAAATGCCGGCGTTGAGTCAAGAGCTGTGCACTGCACTGTCGCTCTATAAGTTGCCGACGAGATTGCTCCTGGTGTTGGTCTGCTGATGAGGGGAAATCTGAGGAATTGTCCTGGGCCAAGCTGGTCTTCATCATCCCCTCCCGTCAGCGTTGAATCATGGAGCTCCTGGCTTTCCTCAGACGCTTCTTGTGTGCTGGGCCCAGGCTCTGTGATGCTCGAGGAATCTTCGGCCCACAACATATACTTTCTTTTACACCGTAATATGCTACTTCTCTACTAAAGGTTCTAATGTGGCCAAAAAAAAAAAAATGTTATGCCGAAAACATAGTATTGATGAAACCAGAGTTGACATCAAAATGTATTCGTTACAAAGTTTGAAATTTAAAACTTAAATGATGGATACAGTCTCACAGTTGTCCCCCAACAGAAATAAGAATTATTGTATTCTATAGATAATACCTTAAAAACTACAATGAAGGGGATGAAAGGGAAAATATTCTTTGTCCTATACGTTATAAACGACGTGATTTGTCTTTGACAAATGTAATTATGCTGTAAAACCCAGGGCTTTTTTTGTAGAAAAAGCCCAGCAGGAACTCATTAGCATAATAGACCACACCCAACAGCAGAAACCTATTACCATATTAGGCCACACCCATGACAACACAGCTCATTAACATATTAGGCCACACACCCCATGTTACCAGAAGTGTGGTCATCCAGCCACACCCACCTTTCCCTTCTTATTCTGTTTACCTTGTTTGTTGTCCAAACCCAGGGCTTTTTTTGTAGCAGGAACTCCTTTGCATGTTAGGCCACACACCCCTAATGTAGCCAATCCTAATGAGTTTCTGCTGTTGGTCCTAGTGAGTTTCTGCTGTTGGGGGTTGCCTGTTATGCTAATTAGTTCCTGCTGGGCGTGGCCACCTCGGGAGCCAGCCGGAACTCCGTTCCTGTGCGTTCCTGCCCAAAAATAGCCCTGGTAAAACCCATTTTCCCCGACCTTTTCTTTTCTGTACCCCCACTGTTTTTCTAAAATAAATACATTAAAAAAAAAGAAATTTGACTAATACTTCAGGCCTAAGGCAAGGTCCTCCTTCCAAGACTATGCCATTCTGAAGAGACGCCATGTTTCCTGTAGCTTCTGGAGGTCTGACTATACTCCAAGTGATTGGTTCTGGTTTGCCTGCCTCTGTAGTGTGTGGCCTACTTTACTTCAGTCACCTAGGGCTGCCAACTTTGGTTTGGGAAATTCCTGGAGATGTAGCGCTAGATCCCAGGGAGGGTGGGGTTTGGAGAAAGAAGAGGAACTTCAGTAGGGCATAATGCAGGGGTGTCAAACATGCAGCCCTGTCTCCTGCTTCTTCCTCCAGTTCTGCTGCTGCGTCATAGCTTGCTTTCCCAGAGTCTCTCAATTGCTCAGGAGAGATAGGCAAGCTTCTGCTCCCTGCACTGGTATGACACACCTGAACCAGCATACTCAGGATTGCTACAGCACATACATTTTGATGCCATAATTCAGTGCAAGAGTATATATGTTTAAATTTAATCTAAATGTCCATCCAACCTTAATAATTGTCAAAGCAAAATAGATTGTTTTTTACATCCCAGTATTTCTCCAAGTAGTCTTTAAAGTCTTTCCAATCTGCAAAAAAATCTTCTGCTTCTTGATTTTTAAGCTTTCTCGTCATTTTGTCCATCTCAACACACACGGCCTGGCCCAACAGTGTCTCATTTATGTCAGATCCGGCCCTCATAGCAAATGAGTTCGTCACTCCTAGTATAATGCCATAAAGTCCACCCTTCCAAAGTAGCCATTTTCTCCAGGGGAACTGATCTTTGTAGACTAGAGAGCAGTTGTAATTCTGGGAGATCTCCAGGTCCCAAGTGGAAGACTTCTTCTTGCTTCTTGAAAAGGCTTCTTCCGGCTTGTTCCATGTCAGGCACTGAGCAACTATATGGAAAGGTGCCTTCTCCTACCTTGCTTTCAGTCAGTCGGCACGGGGAATATTCCTTACAAGCATCTATATTTCTGATTTGATGTCCTGAGTGGCTCTTAACAATGAACTAGGCCGGTGTCGGTGTATCAAAGGTACAGTTCCATTTACTTCACAAGAAAGGGGAAGGGTATATCCATGGGTAGCCCATATTGTTATTTCCATAGCTCTACCAATGGGCATGAGAACTTTCGCAACTGGCCTGAAATACATCACAAGAATCCTACCACAGCTATCACCCAACAAAATGGCTGCCTGCCCACTCTACTGAAAGTTGAGGTGGTGGTTTTAAACTGAACAGTGGCCCCGGTCACACGGGCCGGATAGCGTGGGCGGGAGGCGTGGCTGTTTGCCCCGGAGTGAACTACCGCGCGGCCGCGGGATCACACGTCCCGCCGACGTCCGGTGGTGGTGGTGGTGAGCCCGGGGAGGTGCCGATCAGACGGCGCGGCAAAGAAGCGGCGCTGCCGTGGCAAACAGTTTAAAAACAAAAAACAAAAAAACCCAAGTATGCGCTTGCGCCGTTGGGTGCTTGTGCGCATCCTGTGGAGACTTAAAAAAAACACCCTTCTTTGCGACGGGACATGGGCGGGCGCCGGATGCCACGGGATTCCACCGGAAACGCGATCAGGCGCCCGCCCTTGCGCCGCGGTTTCCGGAATGAGATCTTGAGGAGGCATACCAGACTTCCCCCTCCACCACCCCAGGGCTATTTTTGGGCAGGAACGCACAGGAATGGAGTTCCGGCTAGCTTCAGAGTTGACCACGCCCACTACAGCCAAAACCTCTGTGTGCCTGGCTAGAGGAAAGGCCTGGAGAGCAAACCCCCCCCCTGCGACTCCAAGGTGGGTGGGCCAGGGGGGCCCCCTGGAAGAACCGGGGAGGCATTTAAGTGCCTCCCTGCACCTGCCCCAGCCTGTCCAAGGGCCGGCTTGCCCGGGCTCCCTGTAGCCGCAGGGCGTCCAGGCAAGCCAAGGGAAGGCATGGAGTGTGTGGCCTAATATGTCAATAAGCTGTGTTGTCGGGTGTGTGGCCTATTATGCTAATTAGTTTCTGCTGTTGGGTGTGGCCTGTTATGCTAATGAGTCACTGCTGGGCGTGGCCAGCTCGGGAGCCAGCCGGAACTCCGTTCCTGTGCGTTCCTGCCCAAAAATAGCCCTGGCTTTATCCAACCTTCCTTTCAAAGAGCTCAGAGTGGCATGAATAGTTCTCTCTCTCAATGTATCTTCACAACGGTGGGTCACGCAGGCTCGGCTGAGAAAAAGAGAGAGGGTCAGACCCATGCTGAGGGAGAATCTGGAAACGGAGAACTCCCTGGTTTTACAGGTTTGCATGGTCCCCCACAGGCAACTGGCAGAAGACTTACCTTGCTGGAGAGGATCTCACCGGCGACCTAATGACACCACAGATGGTACGCTGACACCACTCCCTGTGTACCCAGCAGTGACATCAGCCCACCACAAGGGGGCGCTAGGGATACTCTGGCATTTGGGCAAAACTTTGTGGTTTAACCATAGAGTTTTGCCCAGTTGCCAGAGCATCCCTGGCATCATCTGGCAACATACTGACATCACATCCAGGTTTTCTACCATTCCTCTCCTCCCACCAGCCAGATCCTCTGCCCCCCCTCCCAGTGGGGGCATGGTAAACCCTACACTCCAACCACACCAGCAATCAAAACCTAGCTTTGAAAAAACTCTGTGGAATTCCTTTATCCAAGGCAAGATAAGGATGTGTTATCAAATGTTGCACGTGCCACTTCTTGAAACTTAAGACCCACTGTTTTAATAGCAAATGCACATCTGGCCACTCTTAAATTCTGTGTGTGTGTGTGTTTTGCCATCAAACTGAAGCCCGCCTCCCACCACAAACCCTCCCCAAACACTCACCCTGTCTCCTGCCTCGTTGCTTAGCAGCCACAGAGAACTCAAGGCGATGCAGGTGACGTTGATGGGAGGAATGGTCTCCAAGATGTGCTCCAAGGTCACCGTGCCCTTGACCGTGGGCGGGGGCCTCCTCATGGAGGGCGGGATGTTGGGGATCCAGGCGCCAAAGTCATACTGTGGCCAAAGGAAGCATGGAGTTCAGCCAATCCTGAAGCTTAACAACTCCTATTTCAGTCACTAGCTTCTTCTTTTTTAATTATTGAAGCTTATATACATAATCTTACATTACATCATTGTACAATCATTTTACCCCGCTCCCCCCCTCCCTCCTTATAGTATCTTCATATTTTTAACCATGTGCACAGATTCTTCATTTGTATTTGGATATTTGGATTGGCTTCCCCCCTTTCCACCCATTCCTTATATCCCACCCATTTATTTGTAATCTTTTGACATTTCTCCTCCCATGTCTCTTCAGTAATTATCTGTGCAAATATATCTAATTGTACGTGTTCAAAGACATAATTATTCCAATTTTCCATTGTCCATTTGTGCCTGTCCCTCCCCCCCCTTCCCGTGCTTTTACAGCCATCCCGGCTAAAACCATAATTTTGTATAACTCCCGTTTATTTCTTTCCACTTTTTTATTTCCCAATATTCCCGAAATAAGCAAGTCCCTATTAATCTCTATATTAACTTGAAATAAATCAAATATAACCCTTACAATCTTTTGCCAAAATTCCTTAACCACTTTACATTCCCACCACATATGTGCATATAGACCTACTTCTTGGCCACAGTGCCAACACTTTGGGTTCATTCCTTTACGCTATCTGAGCCGGAGTTCTATAGCACTTCCATATAAATTTCCTCACCAATTCTTTATCTCTATCTGTTTTGATTTATACCCTTCATTATTTCTTGAATCACTTCCTGATGCATTAACGCTTCTCCCTCCTATTTACTCTGTATGACCCTTATCATCCTCTCCTTATCTCTTACCACAGTCACCAGCTTCTGGCAAGGTGAGGCGTCAAATTTGGGCTGTCATTAAAGGTGACGTTAAGGGAGACAGGTCTGACCCCTGATGCGCACCCCCTAGCGGGAAGCTGTCCTGCCAAACTAACTGAAACTAACAGGAGCTGTGGAAGAAGGTGGACCTTCTGAATAGCTTCTGGCAAGGTGAGGCGTCAAATTTGGGCTGTCATTAAAGGTGACGTTAAGGGAGACAGGTCTGACCCCTGATGCGCACCCCCTAGCGGGAGGCTGTCTTACCAAAGTCTCACTGGAACTAACAGGAGCTGTGGAAGAAGGTGGACCTTCTGAAATAGGGTTGCCAACTCTGTCTTGGGAAATCCCTGGAGGGAACTTGTCTCTGTGGCCTGGAGATTAGTCAGGATTCTGGGAGACCTCCAGGCCCCACCTGAGGCTGGCGCCCCTGTTCTGGAAGGTGTTGTAGCAGGAGAGTGAGGGACACCATTTTGGATTTTCTGGTGCAAAGAAAGCCTCCATTTTGGATCTGCAGTGGAGCGGGACTTTCGGAGGGTCTGCCTCGGGGACCAAAACATCTTGGACCGGCCCATCCACTCCACCCCCTCCCCACCATTATGTGTCATCTGCGCAATGCCTGCAGCCCTGACGTGAGGGAAAAATGGCTGCCAGAAGCGGAGAAGAAAAGGAACGTCAACATAGGGTTGCCTGGTGGGGCAACAAGTTGGAGGGGGATTTACCAGGAGGCCCCGGGAGAAGGGAGGTAAAGAAGAAGAAGCATGACTGAAGTGAGTTCTGGATGAGCTGGCCATCGCATTTAAAGGGACCGCGCTCCTTTTCAAAGCCTTCCCTCCATTGGGAATAACGGAGGATAGGGGCACCTCATTTTAGGACTCATAGAATGGGACCCCTGGTCCAATCATTTTGAAACTTAGGGGGGGTTTTGAGGAGAGGCACCACCAGCTATGCTGACAATTTGGTGCCTCTACCTTGAAAAACGGGAGCTGCGGTGGCTCAAGTGGTTAAGACGCTGAACTGCAGGCTGTGGAAGGTCGGTAGTTCAGCAGTTCGAGACCCGCATGACGGAGTGAGCTCCCGTCTCTAGTTCCAGCTCCTGCCAACCTAGCAGTTCGAAAGCAAGAAATTGCAAGTAGGTAAAGAGGAACCACTACAGTGGGAAGGTAACAGCGTTCCGTGCGCCTTGGTGTTAAGTTATGCCGGCCACATGACCACGGAAACGTCTTCGGACAGCGCTGCCTCTTCGGCTTGGAAACGGAGATGAGCACCGCAACCCTAGAGTCAGACTCAACTACCTTTCGAGCAAGGGAACCTTTACCTTTTACCTTGAAAAACAGTCCCCTGAGTCCAGATATCCACAGATTGATTCTCCGTTATACCCTATGGGGACCAGTCTCCATAGGGTATAATGGAGCACCCAGCGGCCATTCCCCCCTTCCCCGCTTTCTGATAGTCTTGAAGCAGGGGGAGGGGCTCCAAACTGGGGATTGGCAACCCTACTTTGAGAGCTGAACACCACTCCTCCCTCTCTCACAGGCATCAAAGAGGCTGACCCTGTGTTTACTGACTGGGTGGGAAACTGAGGCACAAGCAGGAGAGGGGGGTCTTCTCTTGCTCTTACCTGCCCACTGTTGACAGCAGCATGTTGTGCCGAGCAGGTGAATATCACCATCGTCAGGAACCTCGTGAGCTCCGCCATGGTCTCCAGGGAGGAGGGGGCGCCTGAGGCCTTTCCGCTCTTGAAGGCTTCCCTGAAGATCTCCAGAACCCAGGCCTGGAGCTCTGGGTCACTTTCGACGCACTCATCGTTCTTGTAATAGAACTGGACGACGTTCGAGACGAACCTGGAAGTCAAGAAGGCACGTGCTGGATCTCGTCAGATAAGGAGGACCAGTGGGCCCATGCCGCTCAGTATCCGGTTTCACCCACTACGCATGCGATCACACACGAAGCGGCCTTCTACTGAATCAGACCCTCGGTTCGTCAAGGTCAGTATTGCCTACTCAAGCTGACAGCGGCTCCCCGGGGTCTCAGGGAGAGGGCTTTCGGATCACCTGCTGCTTGGTCCTTTTCACTGGAGATGCCGGGGATTGAACCTGGGACCTGCGGCATGCCAAGCAGATGCTCCAGGGCTTTTTTTGTAGAAAAAGCCCAGCAGGGACTCATTAGCATAATAGGCCACACCCAACAGCATAATTCATTGGCTTATTAGGACACACCCCTGACAGCACAGCTCATTAGCATATTAGGCCACTGTTATGTATTCAGCCTGACATGCCCGGACTTGCCCGGGCTGGCCAGGCACAACTCTTCAATAGCTTCATGTCCAAAGACAATGGGTCTGTAGGATCCTAGCCGGCCCAATCAAAGGGCCAGCTTCTCAGCCGGGAGACCAATGGTCGCCCGGTTACTGTAAATAGCCTATCGGGAGTAGGGGGTGTGTTTAGGTGTACTTGGTGGCGGGTTTTCTGAACCTATATAACCAGCCTGCGAGCTGGTCCCTTCGTCTTTGTCCTGAACTAAATAAAGGTATGCTTAGCTGAAATCACTCTCCGTCTGCATACTTTTCACTGGCGACGAAGGTGGGATCCACGACCCCATGAACAAAGACCCGGACGCCAACGCGAGCACCGCACCGAGCCCCGACGCCGAGACCTCCGGGAACCGCGCCGCTTCGCTTCCCAGCTCTCCGGCAACCGCTCATCGCGCAGCTCCCGGCTCCGCTTCGCTCCCTGCTGACCCCGAGAGCAGCAGCGGCCTCCACAACGCTCCCGACGCCATCGCCGTTCCAGAGGCCACCCCACCACGTGGCTGCAACACAATGGCGACCGCGACCGCAACTGAAAGCCTGCCCGCTTTCGATCTCTCCCAGCCCTCGCTGTGGGACACCTGGCTGGACACGCTGGAGAGCCGCTTCACCATCCACAAGGTGGTGGATGACGCGATGAAGAAGGCCCCCAAAATAGCCCTGAGATGCTCTACCACTGAGCCACAGCCCCGCCCCTCCCAGATGTCCTGGATGGCTCACAGCAGAGCCAACGAAGCCAAAGTTGGAAGCTGGCAACCCTAATTGTCTCCTTACTGCGTGTGTATGAGAGAGAGAAAGTGAGAGAGAGAGACTGCTTATGTATACGGAAGAACTGTATGATTTGAACTGGGAAAACAACACAGGTTGGGAAAGGTTACGCCTCCCGATGTCATTGTCCCGACGTGATTAGCCCCCTTCCAAAGCACGGCGTCGATCAGCATTCCTTTTTTTCAAGTGAGAGGTCCGATAATGGATCTCCTACCATCTTGCCTACTTTGGCCCTGACTGGGACACTCATAAGAGCATACGAGACGTCAATGCTGGATCAGGCCAGTGGCCCATCCAGTCCAACACTCTGTCACACAGTGGCCAAAAATACCCAGGTGCCATCAGGAGGTCCAGCAGTGGGGCCAGGATACTAGAAGCCCCTCCCACTGTTGCCCCCCCCCCCAGCACCAAGAAGACAGAGCATCCCTTGCCCCAGACCGAGAGTTCCTATCTATACCTTGTGGCTAAGAGCCACCGATGGACCTCTGGCTCCAGGCTCTTTTTGTAGCAGGAACTCCTTTGCATATTAGGCGACACGCCCCCTAATGTAGCCAATCCTCCAAGAGCTTACAGAGCTCTTCTTACGGGGGCTACTGTAAGCTCTTGGAGGATTGGCGACATCAGCGGTGTGTGGCCTAATATGCAAAGGAGTTCCTGCTACAAAAAGAGCCCTCCAATTCCCTCCTCAAGCCGTCCATGCTTTTAGCCGCCACCACCTCTCGTGGGTTTGGCCGACCCACTGTGGCCTCAGCCAGGTGTGAGGAACGGCCCCCAGGAGCCCCCTCCCCTCTTCATTGCCTGTGTCTTTATAGCGCCATCCCCCTCGGGTGGCCAACTTCCAGGTGGGGGCTGGAGATCTCCAGGACTGATACATGACCTCCAGATGACAAAGATCAGTCCCCCTGGGGGGTGGGAATGGTGCTTTGGAGGGTGGGCTTCACGGCCTTCTACCCCACCGAGGTCTCTCCCCTCCCGGAACCCGGCCCTCCCCAGGCTCCGCCCCCAAATCTCCAGGACTTTCCCAACCTGGAGCTGGCAACCCTACATGGCCCCCAGTCCCAAACATCCAGCCGTCTCCTTCCCATTGGCTCCACCCCTCGGCTTTGTCCCGCATTCCCCAGCCTGATGCCCGCCCCTTTCCTGCCTCGCTCCCCGGCTGGTCCTGACCTCTCGAGGGCAGCCCAGATCTTCAGACCGTCATCCCGGTAGTAGTAGTTAGAGACGGAAGCGACTCCGCGGGCCTCGATGTCATCCGGGAGGCAGAGGGAGGTGTAGGTCATCTCTTGGGCGCCTTTTCCCACGATGGGCACGATGCCTCTGTAGCCTGCGGAGGTGGCCTGGGGGGAGGAGGAGGAGGAGTTTTGGATCTATACCCCGCCCTTCACTCGGAGTGGCGGAGCGGCTTCTTT